CATCCCCCGGTCGGAAGAACACCCCTACGCGAAAGATTAATTGCTCTCCCAAACCCCAGACCACCCGACCGTAACAGTAGTCTCATAGTTTTGTAGTAGATTATCAGTAAACAAAGATTTACCAAATAATGGTAGACAAATTGATTTATCATCCATTACATTGTCAAGAGGTTCAGGAAGAGTGAATTGAAACAACATTTGTAATAATAATAATGCATGTGAAGTTTGTCTTGTCTTGTCAAATATATTCCCTCGTGCAAATATAGCAACCTGAAAGTCTATATTGTCAATTACTGCCAGATTAAATATTTGTGGTCCTTTAATTATATTGACCGTAGGATCTGTATGAATCATTCTGTAATGCTCTCATGTCGTCTAGTATAAGAAATAATACCTGCAGTACAAAGAATCTTACGCAAGGTGTGGCAGTAATTTTGGTTTCTGACACAAAATGTGCATGAGCCAGACTTTCATTCCAGTGAAGGTAATATGGATGCGAACAACGTAGTTATTTTCGTTATATGGCCTGTGTCAAGTAGCTTTAGAGGTATACCGCGCTGCTCTCGCTTTTTGTTAGCACCTGCTAGCTTTTCTCATTAGCACTGGGTATTGCGTTAGAATATTCTTTATATGAACTCGATTCTTCTAATTGGTGTATATTTTCTCCGATTTCAGAATGTGAAGACAAAATTCTTCTGCCTAATTATGTCGACATCTTCTGAAGTCTGCATGCCAGACTTCTTTTTCATTGAATTTTTCAATTTACGTTCACCCAGTTTCAATGCAATTTTAATGGATAATTCGCTCAATGGCTCTGCTGGTTTCGTCAATTCTGTCGCTTTGGCGGTCTTCGAGGGTTCATTGAAAATCGTAAACATTTGAGGCAGTAGTGATAGAAAACGTTCTTGTAGCATATCATCACCAACTCCGCTACTGAAATTACCCAATCTCCGTAATGTCTTATAGCATTTTTTTGTGTTTTCCAAATTCGTGACATGTTGTAGCCTTTACCAGGCCTACATTATAAATGTCCACCCTGCTGTTCGTAGCACTCCTCGCAAATAACGTGCATTATGCGCTGATGTTTCTGTACAATAGACCGCCTTTGCCAATGCAAGGGATTGATTTTCCATGAATGTTTTTTTCCACGGCTGGAAAAACATTTTAACTTATTACAGAAAAGGCAGATACGGTAATGATCTCGGAATCAATGTTCGTCATGCAGATCTTTCATATCGAACAGGAAGTGAGAATAGCAAACTCCAGGTAAATGGTCAGGATTTTTATCTTTGATTGCATTTCATCTATTTCCCATGTCCCTATCAATTGCTTTAACGGTCGTAATTTATACAGTGTGTAAAGAATTATTGGCTTGTTTTTGTTTTTGATCAAGAAAACCTGCTTTTCATTTTTCATTAAATAGTGTACTGTCTTTTAGAAGTCATTTTTTAACAAATTATTAACAAAATGACAAGCAAAGCCAGCGAGAAACTATATTACATTTTGGAACATAGGAGTCCGTTAAGCCAAAGATATTTACAAAGCAACAAGGATTCCGATGCGGACTGTCTATAATAACTTAAGAAATTTGGCAGTATAGATAATAAAAAAAGAGCCGGTCGACTAAAAAAAATTTTCCCCCAATGTTGCCAGAATATACACCACGATTTCTTTGCGCTTCATGAAGACTAAATTGGCTGGAAAAAGGGTACAGCTCTCCCAGCTGTTTCTCAGCGTCGCGGTAACTTGTCTATAAATTCTACAATCCCCAATTTTCTAGCAATATTTTCTAAATTTTCTATATGAAAACTTTCTTGATACTTTTCGGGATAAACTATGTTATCACCTAGCCTAGAATGAAAAAAAGTATTATTGAGTAAATAAATTATTTTCTTCTGTCACTACAATTGCAACGCATTTAACAGTTTTTTGGCACAACGAAAAGCTGCCAAAAGCCACTCCTATGTTAACTGAAGCTACAAACAAAGACGTGTGGGCTGAGCAAAAAAAGCAACATTTACATGACAATTGTATTTACGGATGAAACGGCATTCCAGTTGTTCAGAAATACAGTCGAGAGATGGTATAAAGGTGAGACGAATTCCAAAAGATCGTACCAAAATCTTTGCATGGGTGGCTTTTCGATAAAGGGCAAGACCAACCTTTTTTGTTTCACAAATATAATGAATGCAGAGTTCTATGTAGGCATTTTAAAAAAGCATCTTCCAGAGATTAGGAACTTAATGGGTAAGCACTGGCGGCTTCAACAGGATAACAATCCTAAATATACCAGCCCAATGTGGCCAGCCAACAGTCTGGATTTAAATCCAATAGAAAATCTTTGGAATATTGTTAAAAGAAACGTCGAAAAGAGAATGCCACAAACTCAGCAAGATTTAAGTCGTTTATGGTAGAGGCATGGAATACTATTCCAGAAACCATGTTAATTAATTTAGTACAATCGATGAAGCGCAGATGTGAGTTAGTTATTGAAAGCAAAGGAGAAAGGATATAATATTAATAAATCTGCTGCATCTTAGCTATCAAATGAGTTATTAACTATGTTGATTGTTATGGTCGTTGTTACTCAGGTGTTGCGTAGACAAGAGTATGTATCTTGGTAGTCAGTAAATAATAGAATCGTCTTTTGATGTGATGCTAACACAATAATCCTCAAGTCTCTGGTTGCAGAACTGATTGCCCGTAAGTAAATAGTCTCGATAACATTTCATAATTGGAATAACATCTATTTTACTAAGCGATCTTATCAGTTTTATTTAGAATTAGCAATTGATCTGTCGTAATAAACCAAAAATTTTCTCATCACTTTAAAATTATTGGCAATTACATATTTGATGGTTATTGTGACTGACATTTTGTCAATGAAGGGTCATAGCCCGTGAAAATTGTCGACTGATTGCTTCCTCCACTTCCTCCGTAGGATACATAATTATAATCGATAATTATTTAGACTATTCAATAAACATGACGCATAAGTAAAATAACTTACCTCGGAGCATAAATCGTGTGTCTCGGCTGCTAACTGCATTATATCTGATCGCATTTGTTCCCTGGTTGCCGGATTTTCGGCACACACGTATATCAACATGGTTTGGATACGATCTAGGTGTTCGTAGAGAGGGTGGAGTGGATTGCTTTTGAGTATGAATTGTAATTTCGCCACTACGACGTGCAATTTATCACCCGCTAATATTAGGCCGACAATCGCTTTCAGAAAGCTTTCGTCCATTTGCTTTAGTTTTTTCCTATTGTCAATAATGGCATTTTCTGCGATCATCGTGGGTGGATTCGTGTATGGGTGTCTAATAATAAGACGACCTCGAAGATGGATGTCTAATAAAGACGACCTCGAAAACTCGTGATGGATATTTGGGTCGCTATTCCGTTAGGTGTTGGTGATAAGGGCTCATAGCGACTCTATTTATACAGTTCGACATTGCATGCTCCTTACACCATATACCATTTTCAGAAAATTGATCAAAGAGTCTGACCCAATTCGAAATCAAACTAAATTGGTAAATGTACGTTTCAGATCTTTTCACAAAAAGTGTACAGATCGAATTTAGACATAGACCAATGCAGGTACCCCCTAGACACCCCTAGACACCAGAGAACTTATTCGTAATTGGGAATTATCAAAAGCATTGTTCGACTTAATCACACATGTTACCAATAAATGATCCTCTATATATTATATTGAATCATATACATATGTATAAAATGTATTAACATATCCATTAACGTTGATACGACTTGACAGCAACCACTGCTTTCGTAATTCAATAGTCACTCACATTAACTGTTTCATATTTCACTTCGAACCCTAATTGGTACTCTACATAATGTTTGACCATAACGAGAATTTGAATTGGTTCATCCCCTGACCAAACTAATACGGTCTTTCCCATCAGATAAATTTGTTCTGTCGTTATTGTGAGATTCCGAATTGGGTTCAAGTTTAAATTTTTATTTTTGGGCTGTGAAACGATCAATGGTATATGACATAGCATTTGGTCCGTATAAATAGAAAGGAGTTCCGGTTTCAACTCCTCAAAATGGATGCCATACCCAGCAAGGATGTCTCTGTTAAATGGTCATTCATCACATCAGAGAAAGCTACGGTGAATAGAAAAAAGCTAAATCAAATGGATGAAAGCTTTCTAAACGTGCTTGTCAGGCTAGTATTAGCGGGTGACAAATTATATATCCAAGTAGCGCATATCCAATCCGCACTCAAAGGCGACCCATTACACCCTCTCTATGAACACCTCGATCGTATCCAAACCATTTTGGTATACGTGTGTGCTGAAAATCCGAAAATTAGAGAACAAATGCGATCTGAACTAGAACAAATAGCAGCCTCGCACCTCCCTCCTAGACCTAATGACCACAACAGGATCTCCTTGCCCAATCCTACTGATCTTACGTCGGCTTCAAGGAAAAGAGCGGCATCCTGCTCAAAATCCAAAGCCATTGAGAAACGACCTGCAAAACGTGAGCGTGAGCGTGAGCGTGAACGTGAACGTGAACGCGAACGCGAACTTGCACGTGTGGGACCGCATGAGTCGTTGGTGGATTTCGAAACTTCTACGGGGGAAGAGGAAAGCAATCAGTCGACAATTCTCAATGGCCATGACGAACCAATAGCTTCGTTAACACTGGGGGGGCACCATTCGCTGCATATACAGCATACGTCTCTGACGTCTGGGTTGAATGAAGGTAATGTGCCGGTGCAGTCTTACTTATATGCTGATGTTGGTTGGGAATCTTTGCATACATAGCTCTCCGATAAAAATGTGAGTTTGCCATAGTAAGCTTTCATAACGGTCTTACGGTCTGATCTTCCTCCGGAGACTTAGGCAATCAATAAACAATGAAAGTTCGTACTAATAGAGCGCGCTTCATGACTATTCGTGATAATTGCAATTCGCACAACGTTATCCGTATTGCTGATGTGTAAGATATGTACATAATGATGCTACGGATATTGCGATGTGTTTGTTCATAATGACGTTTTGTAAAGCCTGTATATATGGACTCCCTAAGTGAAGATAGCCAATAATATTTATTGCAATCGATCGACCACCGTTGTACAAAATTACTGTATCAACTTTGCATGCTATTTACCAAACAGACAAAAATACTGAATCAATATCATATCAAAGAAGCTTGGTGAATGTTTCCCACAATTCTACGCAATAATGATACTACTTTGTCGTGCCCTAACCAGTTGATATCACTTATGTTCGTTGTGCAAGGTGTACCCATCCAACGCTTCTTTGTAAATAATCACTACATGCAACTCCACATTATTAATATTATGTTCCTCTTCTTTCATCTCCGCTTTTGATATGTGACTAAATCCACGATTTCTTTATCGGTTGGTATTTCCTCTGTCTCACTCTCTTCTGAATAATTGACATCCGAAGTGAAGACCTTTAACATCTGTGCATAACTCCTCATTAAGTCGTCATCATTGATATCGAGTTTCTCGTTAAATATCTTTGTTTGTTGAAAGAAATTAGGTATTGTTTTCGGCGATACTTCATTCCATACTCGAGCAACAAACCGTGCAGCTGTAAGAACGTCCAGTTTTTTATGTTCATCACCAGATCCAAGTAACCATTTCACAAAGTGGCTCCGATCGTGACACTTAAAGGACATAATCACACAGAACTATATTGTGACCAGCATCCAGTCATCCTACACCTTTAGCGTTCAATCGTAGGTGTAAACAAATAAAGAACGCAAAATTCCAGCATCCAGTCATCCACGCCTTAGCACTTGATTTATATATAACGCCAAGGGTATTGCTGTTTATGTGTTTGAAGCAACACGGTTTTGCATACTTACCAATAATCAATGGCTTCATTTTATCGGATCGCCAATGTTAGTCGTTCCTTATCTTACTTCTTTCCTTTGAGACTAGATGGTATCTGGTTTGAGATTTAAGATAAGAACAAAATTAATTTCGCAATGTACTATCATTATAACTTAATTACATACATACCGGTAAAGTTCAAATTATAGTCCTTCAACAGCTCTCTTAACTGAGTGACTGCAACAGTAGCGCCCTTTTTATTTGTATAAGGCCATGTCTTCGTTTAAATTTAAATAATCAACTATTAGAGAATTTAAAATCGCTAATGAGATATTCAACATCTGAGCAAAAGCCTTCGCTTTTTCTAAACAAATATTTTTCGTCAATATTATTTTGTCTTGGCTTCGAAAGGATTCATTCTAATGTTTTCGTTTGTACTTCCTATGTCCCTAATAAGGCCTTTACAAACACACACATCAGGATCCACGGCCATTTCTGCCCGTATTAAATGTTTCATATACGGTGTTATTTCTTTTCTGTTTTTTAATTCCCAAACTGGTGTAATAATATTACGAAATATTTCAATGAAGACTTGCAAAGATTAACACTGCCTAGCCTAATATACAGTAACGTGCAAAAGTATCCTACCGGTTGTATCATCTAAACGTACATAATAATAACTCCTTAAATTTTC